AGCATTTTATAAAGATTCTCTTTGTATGCTGTTGACATTGTCAAAGTATAGTTTTTCTCACATGGAGTTCTTAATAGGAGCAACAACTGAATTATGGGGTGGGAAGGGAAACAAGAATCCATCTGTAGTTTTCAGGAAAACCAGTTAAATATCCTCCAGAGTTGTCCAACCTCTTCTTAAAAATCTTAACAGATGGAGAACACACAATTTCCATAGGTAGACTGTTTTGCTGGTATGCAGATTTTACCTCACAATTTAATTATAATTCTTTTAAATATAATAATTATAGTTATATTGAATTTAATTACAAGAATTATAAGAATGATATATAATTCTTTATATTTAAATGAAATTTAGGTAGCTGAAACTTCTACCATTAGTTCTGGTCCTAGTTTCTTTAGCAATGGAAAATAGTTCCTGTCCACTTTCCTTATGGCACCATCCTGCGTACCTGAACCCCTTAGTCTTCTTTTCTACAGCCTGGATATCTCAAAATCTAATAAAAAAAAATGAAAACATGGAGTTTTAACAGCAGCTTCCCAGCCCAAAGTAGTTTTGATCCTCATTGGTACAAGTCATCCCACTGCAAGACACAAAATTAGTCATGCCTTAGAATTGGAATTCCCTGATCTCTAGCAACTGCTTCAGACAATTGACGTTGGGAAGCAACAGCCACAATCCTCAGGCTGTTCCCCTCTGCAGGTGACAACAGCCTGTTCTGTACCCTGAACCTTGTAGAAAACACTTTCCTGTCGTCAGTGGTGAAACTGTGGGGTCCCCCTCCATTTTCTGTGTTAGTTTTTTATGTGCGTTTAGTTTTACTCTATTGTTATATGGGATGTTTTCTTTATCTTAATAAAAGAAATGTTAAAAAAGATAGGAAGGAAGGAAGGAAGGAAGGAAGGAAGGAAGGAAGGAAGGAAGGACTGTACTAAGGTTCTTGCATGAAATAGGGAAGCAGTGATTTGTTCTTTATATTGCCCTGAAAGATATCTTGGTTTCCAGTCATTTTGCCTGATTGCAGAAGAGTGGTGGAGACCAGGAGATGGCGGAGCAGTACCACTAGTGGGACCTGCATTCCATCTCTTCCCTCAGGCTCCTCTGGCACCGAGGAGGCCAATACTAGCTGCCAATGGTCTGATTCTACTTGCTGTGACTTTAGGAGGAAGAGCTCTACTTTCCTCCATTCTAGAAGATAGCTCAATACAATCTATACCTGATTGGCAGCTGGGTTTTCTAAAAAGTTTGTAACTGAATTAGGGCCCCTCCCTATGAGGAGTCTCTTGGAAAGCAGCCCTGGACTTCTATGATCTTACAACATTGGCTGAGCTGATTTATTTCCTGCCCAACTGTGTTACATTTGAAATTATAACAAACTTGCTTTTCTTTGAAAGGCTGGGCTGTATATAGGCGGTCCACTTCCTCCTTTGCAGGAACTCTTGGCCCCTCTGCCTCTTGGGATTCAGGTGCATGAGAGAGTCTTTGGAGAGAAAAGTTAGCTTAAGGGCTTTGTAGTATTTTCTTTTTCCAGGTCCAAAGGTAGTATGGAGCAGGGCAGTGATTTTTTGCTCTTTGTTCTCAATGTTTTGGGACTAAGGAAAGGGAAGGTTGGTTTTATTGTCTCCAAAATGCTTATGAGGGCTGGGGGAGTAGAAATTATGGCAATGTGTTTCCTTAGGGCAACTGGTGACATATATTTGACAGATGGGACACAGAACTACTCTAAGTAGCAACAAGGAGAAAGTCATTGAAGCATCTTTAATCGTTATTGCAAATGATCAATATAATCACATGCCTGTAAACTTATAGTCTTCCTGAAAGAAGAGTGATTACTATCATTGTTAGACTTTTTGAAAGAGAGAGAGAGAGAGAGAGAGAGAGAGAGAATGTGTGCAATTGGCCAGCCTCAATACATGGAAGGCCAAGAGCAATTTTAAGTAGCCATTAACTTGAATCTGGACTCCTGCCTTTTTCCTGCACCGATTCTAGGATGCATTTTGATACTTTGAAAAAGAAAGAGGAGGAGGTACAGCTCATCATTTCCAACGTCTAGTGTAGAGGGTGTTGGTGTTTCCTTAAAATTCTTTGCAGTCTGGTTCCTGCATGTTAAGTTCAATGAGGTATGACATTTGGGACAGCAGCTTGAACCCAAATCCATTAGCTTGCTGCTTGCTAATCCCTTAGGACCAGCTGCCTCATCCCATTAGCAGAAAAGCAAATGCAGCACACTTCTTTGAACTACTCAACATGACAGCTTGGCATTACAGCCCTGTTCTGAAAGCCATTTCATGACAACTAGGAGGACCTAAATTTGGTAAACAGAATTGGGGTTCTTTTTGTTTGACTGAGGATCTTCCACACACAAGTGATCCAGCACTGGGAAGAACAGTGTTGAGAAAAATGAATATAAACTTGCTATGCTATCAAAAGAACATAAAAATAAGTTATGACAGTGCTGAAAGAAGAATCCCACCAGGGAAGGGCTCTTGATTTTTGTCATAAGAGTTCTGTCATGGTAAGTCCCATTTATCAAGCTGCATTTAAATTCATCAGGTTTCTGAAACTGAAAGAAAACAAAACTATATTGACTGACAATAGTGTACTTTTATCTTTTTTTCCCATTCCCTTTAAAAAAAACCTCATTCATTTTCTGCTTGGGGTTGAACCACCAGCAACTAATTTCAGATTACAGACTACAAGATTTGCTTTGCATCACTGGTGAATATTTTTTAATATACAGACTTACAATTTTTACTGTTCTCTTCCTCAGGGTTGGTGGGTAGAGGAAAGGGTTACTTTGGGGCAATGGATGCTCAGAAACAAAAATAAAATGTTCCATAGCTCAGGAGTACTCAATCTACAGCGTGAATATTCAAGTTTAGCCCAGTATCCTAGCTGACTCTGTGTTACACACAAAGGTATTTTTACTATGAACCACCCAGAGATGGTAGTATATAAATTAATCTAGATAAAGTATGTGTCTGCTGTTGTTCAGTCATTCAGTCGTGTCTGACTCTTCGTGACCCCATGAACCATATTGCACCAGGCCTTCCTGTCCTTCA